TAAGACATTTTGTCGAAAAATGAATAGTTTCGGAAATAATTGTTTGCTTCCATACTTTTTCCCCACCCTGTATATGTATATATATATATATATATATATATATATATATATATTTAAATTGTATTATATTAATATATAATTTTATATAAATAATTTTATAGATCTCTCTTATTATTAATATTATATTAATAAATTCTTAATCATAAATCTTTTCTTCTAACGTAAACTTAGGAAAAGTTAACATATATTCAATATTTGTGTCAATAAAACTTTTTACTATTCATGAGTTCATGCTAGAGAAAAAAATTTATGATTGAACTCCAAGTAGGGAAAAGATCATACCACTTGTATCATGTTTATATTTACAATTATATTTACAATTATATTTATTTGTATATAGAATATAAGCTATATTGTAGTGTATTTAATTATGCATATATATATATATATATATATATATATACTTATATATAAATAAATAAATAAATATGTATATATATAATTAAATATATATTATAATATAGATTACATTATTTTTATTTATAGTTAAATTACATTAATAATTTTAAACTTTCTCTCCTTGCATTATTATATATATACTTCTTAACCAGTTAATATGTATGCAAGATAATACATCGTATAATACATTGATTTGTTAAAAAATAACAAGAATTATACGTATCTTTATACAATTACATATATATAATTATGTTCATTAAATTTTTATTAACGTAATAAATAATAAATACTTCATAAATATTTTCTACTATAATTCTTGCTATTTTTAGCTAAGTTATTTATAAATATATATGTATTAATAAAATTATTGTGAAAGTAGCAGGTATTAAATAACTCTAAAAATTAATCTATTAATTTAGGCAAAGATTACTGCTACGACAAAGGTGTAATATGTAAATCAAAATTTAAGAAAATAAACTTAAACTTTAGTCATTAAAAATCATGTCTATCATATAATAACATGTACAATTTCGTGCTCGCATACGTACGTTTCGTCCTATTCCAGGACCTTCTCAATGCTGATAGCGAAGATTACAAAAATAAATTACATATAGAAAAAACAAAATTCAAATCGGTCGCTCGCAATCGAATAACAACAATTCAATACACAATAAAGGTCAGAGTACAATAAGATGACGACGTCGAACGCAAAAAAAAGTCGTTACATTTGATGTTAAAAAATTTAAATCGTTACATTTTAAACAATAATGTTGAGAGTCAAATGAATATAATGAATAAATGCGAAAATTAGAAATTCGAAAATAGAGACGGTGAGTAGCATATTCAACGTGCTCTCATGTAGACAGCCGCACCGTCTCTATTTTCGAATTTCTAATTTTCGCATTTATTCATTATATTCATTTGACTCTCAACATTATTGTTTAAAATGTAACGACTTAAATTTTTTAACATCAAATGTAACGACTTTTTTTTGCGTTCGACGTCGTCATCTTATTGTACTCTGACCTTTATTGTGTATTGAATTGTTGTTATTCGATTGCGAGCGACCGATTTGAATTTTGTTTTTTCTATATGTAATTTATTTTTGTAATCTTCGCTATCAGCATTGAGAAGGTCCTGGAATAGGACGAAACGTACGTATGCGAGCACGAAATTGTACATGTTATTATATGATAGACATGATTTTTAATGACTAAAGTTTAAGTTTATTTTCTTAAATTTTGATTTACATATTACACCTTTGTCGTAGCAGTAATCTTTGCCTAAATTAATAGATTAATTTTTAGAGATATATGTATTATCTTTAATTATACTTTATCTTATATATATACAATAATAATTATTTAAGAACATATTTACTATAATGCAAATAGAGTTTAACATTCTTAATCTAATTTAAATATTGCAAGAAAAATTGCTAATAAAAAAAGGTTGTATAAAGAAGTGATTATACATTTTCTGGATTATTATTGTTTGTGCAAGATAATTAGTATAATATGTAAAACTTTAAAAATAATGATCCTTTGAAAACTAAAGAATTATATATAGGAAATATTTATAAAACATACATTATTTGTTTTATTGATAAAAATTTACTGAATATATTTAACATATTTAACATATTTTTTATATTTTTTAACATTTTTTTATATTTAACATATTTTGAATATTTTTTTAAAAATATTTTTTGAATATAACCTATATACAATTCTTATTAGTGTTTTTCAATAAACTAAACTATTTAAAAAAATATATGTATTACATATATAAGTTATGTTGTATTAATATTCTAAAATTCTTGCATTAATATTCTTAATATTCTAAAAAATGTATGGGCACTTCTTTATAAACAAACTCTCCTTACAATATTTAAATTAAATTAATAAATTTAAATCTATCCACATTAGTACATTATTATGGTATATATAAGATAAAGTTTAATACATGCATTTTTATAAATAACATATTGTAATGATTTAAGAATATACGTACTAACTTAAATAGAATTCAACATTACGTATTAATCAAATTTAAATATTACAGGAAGAGTTTACTTATACAAAATATATATATATATAATACTTATATAAAGTAATAGCTATATATTTCCTAGATAACAAGCTTGTTGTACAAGCTTCTTTATAAGCAAACTCTTCCAGCAATATTGAAATTAGATTAGTAATAATGAATGCTATTCGCATTAGTACATATACTCTTAAATCATTACTACGCATAGTATATAAGATAACGTAGAACATATAATGCATACTTACAAATAACTTCCATATATTATCTTGCATATGTATTAATGTTTTATTAAGAGCACATACAATAATGCAAAGAGGATTTAAAATTATTAGTGTAATTTCACTACAAACAAAAATAATTATAATTATAATTATTATATTATTTTACATATTAACATATATGTGTACATATGTATATGTAATGTATATACAGCGTGTGTCAAAAGTTCCGGGAGAAAACATACAGTTGTTTTTAAGAAAGAAAACATACAGTTGTTTTCAAGAAAACATACAGTTGTTTTTAAGAAAAAATATGGAATTGTTAATTGCAAATTACATATTTTTTCTTAGAAACAACTATGTGTTTTCTTTACACCAATTGATTCCTCTCATTATTTTATACATAAAAATATGAAGGTAAGATAATCGAAAAATGAATGGTTTACTAGATATTTTATGGTTTATGTAAAATTAAGAAATTATTTCAAGCCTTATAACTCAAAAAGTACTTAATAAAAAGGTACTTAATTATAGTGTTTTGGAAAGCTCTCGAGATAAGCTACAAGAATATGCAATGAAAAATAGAGGGTTCCATTTAAGAAATTGAAGGTAATCTTTATGTGACCTTCAAATGACTATCCAAGGTCAAATCTAAGGTCACCGTCGGATTGCCCGGGAAAAATCCTACAACTTTTGTCTAGGTCATTTTCCTCTGTGATGCGTATTTTTCAAATTATCCAGCCGTCCCGGAACTTTTGACACACGCTGTATATTATATATATGTATATATATGTACATATATATAATTACAATATAGTTTATATATTTTATACATATTGTAAATATAATTGTAAATATAAATATGTACAAGTAATATGACCTTTTTGCGATCAAAGTTTTTCATACTTTCTTTTAAAAAAGAGCATTATTTATACACATATTTACATACCTTTTTTATTCGACTTTTCTTTTTTCTCTCTTTCTCCTTCTTCTATCCTTTTCGAGATTCTTTTTACTTCTTTCCTAACGCACTACTATAACACGAAAGAGCAGAGTAACAAATAGGTTATGGATGACGAAGCGAGCGCTACGCTACCTAACCTAACCTAACCGCGAATATATCGGAACGCACCAGCATTCAATCAGCATCGCAGAAAAGGAGGCTTCAATATTTCGATATATTCGAGTAATCGACTTAACATATACTTTTTAAGGTAGGATTTAAAGTGAATCCTTTTTCTTTCAACCGCTCAAACTTGACCGCTCAAAGTCTATTTCTATGCTCTTCTTCTGTTTTTCCAAACACTAAAATATCATCAAAAAAATTCAATGCCTCCTCAATTCCTGTCAGTATCCCTTTCAATATTCTTTGAAATATTTCAGGTGCACAACTAATTCCGAACATCAATCGTTTAAATCTAAACAAACCTTCATCAGTCACGAAAGTCGTTATTTTATGAAATTTTTCATCTAACTCTATTTGATGATATGCATCTTTAATATCTAGTGTACTAAACCATTTCCTTTCACTTTATCAACTATCTCCTCTATAACCGGTAATGGAAATCTTTCCCTACTATCGCTTTGTTTACCTGTCTCATATCTGCACATATTCGAACATCCTTTTTCTTCTCTATTGGCACTATTGGTGAGACCCATGGAGTAGGACCTATCACACGCTCTATGATCTTGTTTCAAAAGTACATCTGTTTTTGTACTTTATCCTTAAGCTGAAATGGAATTCTCCTAACCGGCTGTGCTATAGGAACTATACTTTTATCTATTGGCAAATTTAATTGATACTTCTTTAATTTTCCTATTCCCTCGAATAAGTTTTCCATAGTTTCCTTGAACCCTACTTACGCTATCTGACATTCTGTTCCTATTTTTAGAATTTCCAATTTGTATGCTGTCTCATAACCTATTAATATTAATGCTCTTCCTTTTCCTTTAACTACTAAAATCCGTCTCTACTTCTTTTTTCCCTACCTTAATTTTATTTGTAAATTCTCCTAATAAGTCAAGCATACTATCCTGCGCATACGCAAATACTTCCTTATTAGTCTTTCTAGAATCACACTTTAATGTCCATACTTTTGCACATTTTCCATGTTTCTCTATCGATGACGTTACATGATGCTCCTGAGTCTATGATGACTTCCAACGGTACTCCTCCTATCTGCGCAGTCACCATCTTGTCTTGTATTGCATATACTGAGCCTTTTTCTATCAGCCCAAACGCATACTTCTTTGAGTCCTCTTCTGTTTCTTCCGTCAATTGAAGTCTTTTTTTCCACTGTTTCTTCTTTCCCATTTTGTTTCATCTTTCTTTTTTTCATTTTCTGTTGTTTTTGTCCTACTCATTTTTACGAAATGTCCTATCGCATTGCAGTTGTCACATCTCTTCCCTTTTGCTGGACATTTTTCTTCCCACTGTTGATGTCCTTTATATTCACATCGATAATAGTTAATGTCCTTTTCATTGTTCTTTTGTGGTGGCTTCTTATTTCCTTTTTGTGATATCTTCGCCACTGTTTCTGTTTTGTCCATACTTTTGAGCCGAACTGACGTTGCTTCTAATGCTTGGGCTATTTCCACTATTTGTCCCAGTGTTACATCTCTTTTTTCTAGAGCTCTTCTTCGTATTTCAGGCATTTGACATCGTTCAATTATCTGATCTCTACATTCCTCGTCTACCGAAACAAATGAACAGTACTTAGCTTGTTGTCTTAACCTTGTCACAAATTGATCAATTGATTCATTTTCTTTTTGTGACATATTTCTAAATTTATGTCTTTCAAATGTAATATTTATCTTAGGCTTAAAATAATTTGTCAATACTTCCTTTGTTTTCATGTATGGATCTTTATTCTGTGCCATAATGTCTGTATTCGGGATGGCGTAAAATATATCCTGTAACTCTAAATCTCCACAATGCAACAACATAGCTTGTTTCTTCTTCACATCTACTATATTTTGACTTTGAAGCATTAATTCAAAGCTTCTTAGCCATCTTTTCCAACGTGGATATATGGCGCTTTGATCTTCGTTTGTGTTAAAATGTTGAATTCCGCAATATCCTTTCTCTTCCTGCATGATGCTGTCTGTATATCCTCGTCGCCAATGTTGTACTTTATATTCGCTTTATCTGGTATTTGTATATTAATCAGAAAGTCATATTAATCAGAAGTCGTAATTGAACACAAAAATCGCTTTTATTATTTCTCTGTCTTGTTACATACATAGCCTCCTTTGTCTGTTCTCTCTCCCCAGTCTCGCCAACCTAACTCTAGTTACTCTTACACTCTAGTTACTATTAATACACTACATAGATCTAGATTAAATACTTCACGAACAGGTAAAATTGAAATTTCGTTATATGGTAAATCATACTTTTTAACTAAAGTTTTATTTAAATAAAATTTAACACCTGATATTAATACACATGCAACATTTTTATATACGTGAACAAAATCTGGCATAACATATAATTTTTCTTTTTTATCGTATGGATGTTCAATATAATTATTGATCTTATTAAATTTACCAGCTGTTATATTTATATTCTTCCACCAACTCCTATTCTGCGGCCCCATGTCGGAAACAATAACTTTTATTGTTAACCCAATATCATATGCCTTTTTTATAATAGTCATAATTTTTTCAAGTACTTCTTGTGAACAAAAAGAATTTTCTGTTAATTCATAACCAACAGCCTGTTTCCAGTTGGTTGAAATGTCGCACATAAAAACCAGACTATGAGTAGTTAACTTACTGAAACTGTCAAATCCACCCGATAATTTCATAGTAGGTCAACCTGTAATCTAGGTTTGATCGACATTTTGTTAATTAAAAGTACTGAATGTTTTTCTTCACAGTTGAATGTTTCTATCTGAAATTAAATTACAATCATAAGCAAATAATAACTTAAATTACAAATTTTTGTTAAATATAAATGAGTAAAATATTTGCAAAAAAATAATAAAAACGTAAAAAATAAAAAAATTAACTTTATCCATATGCAAACGTTAGGTGGGTTCTGCAAAACAAATCTGAGATGTCAAAATGCTCTTTTACCTCACTCTATCTTTATTTAATTTCAGTAAATAACAAAGAATGTGTTAAAAGAGCCTCCAGACGCCTCAGCTTTGCCGAATCCAGGCATTAAGATAATACTAACTTTAATTTTTAATAGATTGAAAATATCTTCAAATATACCTGGCTTAAATTTTAAGCCTTGTATGCGATGTTGTAGGCAACGAATGCTTGGATAAGGTAATTGTTGGTTTCCTCGTATCCTTTTTGTCCACAAGCAATATAGAGTCGCAATGCTTTAGTAATTGTATTTGTAGACCATGATACTTCTTTATGATTACCATGTGCTATGAAATATCTCTGATCTTTGTTAAATACTATGTTAAACATTAAATTTACTTGTCGCAACTTCTTTTTTAAAATACAACATAGTCACGGTTTTTTTCAAATTTTTCTTCAATTTTGTAACATATAATACTTTTTATCATAAGTTTTACGATTTGATGCAGTCTCTTAACATTGTTTTGGTTGTTATCTCTCTATTATTATCACCATTGACACTGCAGGAATTGTTTTCATTACTTGTTGCATTATACTCGTAATCATCTACAAATATTAATTTCACAAATAAATTACATTACAGTAATACATTACAGTAATAGTACTTGTTATAAAAAAACAATTCAAATATAATTATTTTTTATAACTACACGTACTATTACTGTAACGTATTACTATAACGTAATTTACAGATATAATTATCTGAATTGTAACTTTCTTATATCTAAGTATTATTGTATTATTTAAAACTTACAAGAGAGTATGTTTCGGGGTCGCATCGCTACAGTAGCGCTACTGTAGCGCTACATAAGCGTGTTTCACGTTATTAAAGCGCTATAATACCCAGACAGCACACATGTCCAAAAAACATCTAAAAGACGACTTAAAAACGTCTTAAAGTCCTCTAGACATCTTTAAGACATCTTTTAGCCTTTTTGTGCTGTCTGGGTAGCGCTATAAAAGTACGTTTCAGGACTTTCTGTTACAATTGTAGCGGTCGCCATTTTTTCTGCTACAATTGTAGCAAAAAAGCTGTAGCGCTACTGTAGCGATGCGACCCCGAAACACACCCATTATATTCTGGACATTACTGGGATCTGTCGTTTGTTTCGAATTATCTTGCTATTGATTGACTGTATCTGATTTATCTAACAAGTTAGGTTTTGCGCATGAATGAAGCAGTTATTTTCCATCTTCTCGATGTTGCTCAAATTGATCTTCGTCAAAATGCACCTGCAAAATTGTTATTACTGCAATATATAATTATACAATTATAACTTATTAATTATATCTTACAAACTGCAGCCTTCTTTGTCAATGTATCTCGTCCAATTAAATGCAACCATTCTTCATGCCTTTTTTGTCAACTGGCACATTAAACAATTTGAAACCTTTTTCGCTTCGGTTATTGCATCCCTTAACACAGCAACCTGGCATTTTTTTATCGATTTACTTCGGAAATCAATTTGAGATCTTCACACACAACGCGTATAAAGCTTTGTTATTGCGGTTAGAATCAGATTAGTTAGTAATCCGACGCCATATTTCCTCCAACCAAAAACAATGAATTGCGGTACTTTATTATCTAGTGACTTTATGGGTGAACTGTGACCTTATGGTGAACTGTGATGGGAGACGCCATCACTTGAACATAACTAAAAGCGTCGGTACATTACCAACACTTATAGTTATGTTACCGACAATGTTATCTAGAATAAAAAGACATGCATATATTTTAGAAAGAACATGTGAAAGCTTTATATTGTGTTTAATTGAAACAAAAAAATATGTTGCATTTTCACTGCTCTATTGTCTCGCATAAGCAACAATTTTAAAGTATAGATCTGTTTTTATTGCGTACATATTTGAACACAATTCTATTATTGCTTTCATTAGCTATGTCTCTTTATATATATATATAATAAAAATATATTGTAAAAATATTTATAAATATTATATATTTATAAATTTTACAAATATACGATATTCATCAAATAATTTGCATAAAACATTTTACATTGTTAGCTTTTGATTATATCGCTTTATTAAACATCGTGCATAATTTGTAATTTGTAGAAAGTTATATGTAAGTAAAGTAAATGAAGTATGTAAATATCCTTTATTGTATATATAGAGTGTCGTAGAGTACTATATATAAACGCTTGTGAAGGGCGCAGTACATTGAACAAAAAAGTTCCATAGTATTTTACGATTTTCGCAATAATAATAGAAATATTAAATAAAATTGAACGAATATTTATCTGCGCGCGTGTGTGTGTATGTTGTGTGTGTGTGTGCGCGTGTGCGTGTGTGTGTGTGTGTGAGAGCGAGAGCGAGAGCGAGAGCGAGAGCGAGAGCGAGAGCGAGAGAGAGAGAGAGAGAGAGAGAGAGAGAGAGAGAGAGAGAGAGAGAGAGAGAGAGAGAAACACTCGACCGTTCGAGTTATCGCATGTCCAACGTGTCAAGCATTTTATCGGCGCGCGGCAAAAGAAGAAACAGCGTGGCGCGGCAATGGTGATACGACGAATGAAAACGGCGTGCTCCGCTGTCTTTCCCCTTGTCGCGCGCCAACAAAAATACCTGAAACATTGGATGATGCAATAGCTTGAACGGCCGAGCGTTTCTCTCTCACACACACACACACACACACACACACGCAGATACACATTCGTTCAATGTTATTTAATATTTCAATTATTATTACGAAAATCGTAAAATGCCATGTGACCTTTTGTTGAATTTATTGTTTCTCACAAGCGCTTATATATAGTACTCTGCAACACTCTGTATAAAAAGGATATTTGCATATAACTTTCTACAAATTATAAATTATGCATGACGTTTATTAAATCGATATAATATATCAGAAGCGATAATTAGCAAAATTGTGAACTTTGCTTCATCTTGAAAAATACATGCGTGGACATAGTATGTTCCGCCCCTCTGCGGGGGGCTCCACTTCCGGAAGATATAACCTAACCCTAAGATATAACCTAACCCAATCTGTGTCCGTGGTATAAAATGTACCTCGCTTTGTATGAAAATATAATGTAGAATATATCTTGTCTTACATAGAAAATTATAAGATAAATAAACTATAATATAATATAATAAACTATAAACCTTGTTTTGCGACAAAGGAATAGAGTAGAGTGAACTCACTTGGTATAAAAAATTGAAAAACTATGTAAAACAGAACAATTATTTTTATTCTTTTTCACCTTATATCTCGGAAAATATTTGAGTCCGACCCTTATATATATATATATGAAATTACTCAGGAAGACCTGTCCTACAACATATTTAAAAATGAACCAAATCGGGGGGAGGCCCCTTTTATGCATAATTACCATAAATACTTTCATAATACAATCTTTGCCTCAAAAACAGATTATAATATCGAAATAATAGATTTATATCAATAATATAATAGACCCTTTCATTGCCCATTTCCATGAGACGCAACCATAATATGTATTTTTTTCGTCTCTCCGATACAAACAAGATATTTATATTGTATATAATAAGGCATCTTTATTTAACGATATTCATTGAAATATCGTGATATGATAAATGTAAGATATGATATATTAATAATTTATCACTTTAGAAAAGGCAATTTACTTTTAATTTTTAATTTTTAAAAAATGTTGCTTCATACATTTTACATTATTGAAATATTT